AGTCTGTTTTCTTCCGGTCGCATATTCATGGTTGGTTTTTTTTGTTGTTGTTGTTGTTTTTCCTTTTTGGTTTTGTGGGTTTTTTTTTTTTTTTTCCTCTAATCACATTCTTCAAAGACAGAGTATTCTTTACCTCAGGTTTACTGGACAAAATCAATAACTACAAGAGACAATGATTCACATTTTTGTTTTCATAATACCTCACACACGTACAGTTTCTGTTTGGGAGCCCAGCAGGGTGGGGGACAGGGAAGGTGAGCAGGGTGAGGGGGTGCCCCAAAGTCCCTCTCAGATAGAAGGCAAGGTGGATTTGGCCCCAGGGTCTCACACTGGGGACCTTTCCTGTCACGAAGGCCATCAGGCTCCCATTTTGACTCCGGTATCCTCATCATGATGGAAAAAATACATTGAACCAAGAGATCCTCCCTCCCCTCCAAGGCAGACATTCAATACCAACATTTATGCAGTGTAGTAGAAAGTCCTAATTTGCACTTAGGTGTACCAGGTGATCAGGAAATAGACTGAAAAGAATTCCAGCAGGCTGTTTGGAGATCCTTATCTTGCAGCTTTTTCAAAAGCAGGGCTTTCATCTTCCTGAGGATTTTTCATCTTGAAAGTTTCCTCTCTCTCTTTCCCCTTCCCTGGCCTGGCCATCCCCAGTCTCGTCTGGTCTCTGAAGTTTCCCTAGGTCTGAATCTGTGGGTAGATGAATCTACAGTGCAGCGTCTGTGGTGCTTTCCTCCCCCACCTCTGTCGCAGACTGTACAGGCAAGCCCAGTGCAAGGCCCGGTCCTCTGCAAAGCACTAAATGGTCGTCAGGTTTCAAATCCCATTGAGTTGGCGTGATAGGAAAAAATAGGTAAATGAGTACGGAATGGTAGTTGAAGGGAGAGAAAGAGGCTGCTGGTCTGCTGGGATGAAATTCCAAATGAGTCTGTCTCCTGTGATGTGTGTTTAGAAGGGTTCAGGACTTCGTGAGTTAGCATGACCCTAAAATTCTAGGGAATTTCTGGTGGGACAGTGAGTGGTGAATTCTGAAGTTTTGATGAGGAAAGTTGAGCAGCCAGCAAGTTAGCCAGGGTTTTATCAAGAGCCCACTTTGCACAGCACACTATTCTGGGCCCCAAGGACTCCCATAGAATGAGGAAAAGACTGGTTCTTGGAGTTTGTGGGAGTCTTGGTGCCTAAAGAGAAAATGAGGTGCAAATTTAACAGCGTCCAACTCTTGAGCTTAAGCAGAAGCAGCAAATTAAAGAATCTGACAAGGAAAGGAGCAGGCCTACCAGACTTCACCTGCAGTCTGTAACTTTCCCTTCTTCCTGTGGCCCCTTGTGCCACTGGGTCCTTCTAGCTTTTTCTCTTTGCTGCCTCAAGGGCCTAGTGTGATGTGGGGGTGGGGCTGCTGCCCAGAAGGTGCTGGGCTATTTAAACTTTCTGTCTACTCCCCGCTTAAACAAAAGAAGGAATCCTGGACTTGTGCAAGTAACTGACACCCTCTCCTTAGTTCTTGGTCTCCTTGGTAGGAGTTTTTTGTTCCAGAGGAGTTCAAGGCTCCCCATGGATTTGAATTTGTTCTTTTAAAAATTGTTTTCTCTTTCTTACCTCCCACTAACGGGGTTCCAAATCTGATCCCTTTTTTTCTACTTTGTTTTGTCTTTTCACCTCTCCTTTACTTCCTTTTCTTTGTTTTTTCTCCATCAGTGGGGGCTATATTGTTCCCCCAGCCTGCCAAATTTTGACCCTTCCCCTATTTTGGCCAACTCCTAGGGGGAAGAAATCCTAGTATGCCAAAAATATATGCTAAGCATAATTAATTTCCATGCGGGTTCATAACAGCCAAGGAGCCTGCAGGAGAAAGCAAGGGGCAGTTCCCTCAGCAGAACATGCGCTGACCAGCAAGCTCCTTGGAGAAGGCGCTGGTCTTGTAAGAGGCTTTATTTCAAACTGCCCCAGGATCCCCTGAAGAGCACACCACACCTTACTGCCTGTTACCCTGGGTCTGTGTGCTCTATACAGGAGGCTCTGTTCTGTCTCTGTTATCAGCCAGGTCAGGGGCACACGTGGCTTGGAGGTTTAAGTGACAAAACCAGAGGAGAAAGCAACCCTGGCAGCATCATGCTGCGTCCCTTTGCTAGCAGGATGGGCAACGAGAGGAAGCTGCAGCTTTGCCGCAGTCTAGCACCCTCGGGGCCTCTCCAGACTGTGCCCGGGGAGCTTTGGGACAGGCAGGTTAAGAATATTAGACAGGATTGGATGACTTTCTCAAAGAGGGCAGGGGAATTTTCTCTCCATGGGCCACAGGGGGACAGGGCTGGGAGAAGAAATAGACTTGCACCTTATGTCATGTAAATAATTGATTTTCTAGTTCGCGAAGATAATATTGATAGTGTGGGAAATGGAGGTAGGGTGAGGAGGAAGTCTGAGTAAGCCAAAAGGATTCCTCTTTGCTTATCTTTGAGACAGTCCAACCTTGAGAATAGCTTTAAAAGGGAAAAAATAGTGCTGAGACAGTAAAGTCCCCTCGAGCCAACACACCCCCTGTAGCTATAGAATGAGAGCAGCTTCTCTTGGTGTGGACTTGGAGCAGTTTTCAAGAGCTGTTCATGCAGCAGCCATCCAATTTGTACAAAATAGGGTAGGAAGATGCAAGAGGATGTTGATCACATCCTCACACCACGTGGCTTTTAGTGATTCTGGATTCTAAACAACCCAGAATAGTCATTTCAGCCAGAAATGATGCTACATTCGTGTGTCTCTGCTTTTAAACTTGGCTGGGGTGTCAGACCCTGTTCTCGGCTCAGGTTTCAAGAAGCCATCAGCAAACGTGTGCATGCACGCGGTGGCTGCAGCGTCCACCCTGTGCCTGTGGCCGCCTTTGAGGAAAAAAAAGTGCCTTACTGACTGTAGCCATTACAGTATCCAATGTACATCCTTTTGACAGGTGCCTGTCCTTGAGAAACAATATTTTCTATTTTTCTTTGTAATCGGTTTTAGTTCTCACTGCTGGCCAACTCTCACATCCCCAGCAAATCCCTGGGCCATTGGATTTTTTCCATTATGTTCATTACCCTTGTACCATGTACCTCAGATCTCTCTCTCTCTTCTCTCTCTCAGTTAGTTTCTCATCGTGGACTTCCTTTTCCCTCTCTCCTTCCCCCCCCTTTTTTTTTGCTTTACAACGAGTGTGATGCCATATTGAGTCAATGTTATTCTCTCACAGTGTACTCTATAAGAGGTGTGGGTGTTTATTTGGTCGGGATGCTAGAAAGTGCTAAAGTAGCATGGTCAGTATAAACAGAAAGGTTTTTAGGAAGTATGGCAAAAAAAATGTCTTATTGGCTACGATGGTGACATGATAT